TTTCTCGCCGGTTTCTGTTGCCACTTTATACACTTTTCTGACCGACACCCACAGAGCTTCCACCAATCACCGTGAAGCACGTCACCTACTTCACATGCAAACCAATCGACTACTCCAGGTCCTCAGAACAAGTCACCAACGCTTGCCATGCGGCCAATCATCTCCTACAGAGGTTGACGTTAACCACGCCCACGACAGGTTACCCAGGTTACCGGGGTCAAAAGTGCACACTGACCTTTATCTGACCCGCAATTTAGCTCATTAGCTAAAATTTGCATACATTCGTCCACATTTGCATACATCTGCATATCCTTAGCATAATGACGGTGACCTCTGACCCGCACCGCCTCGCACCGCCTGCACCGCCTGAATAATAAGAATCAGCGTGCTGACTACATACTACTTATGTGAGGTCATGCACATTTTAGCACAATATTTTCCGAACCCCGTACATATGGTTTTCCTGTACACTGGAGTTTATCCAGTCCAGCTATTACCGGTCTGCTACGAGAAAAACAGCTCAGAATATTCGTTGCCCGGTATTATAAAAACAGTCGTGGGAGCTAGCGCTGATTTCTACACATATTGCCATAAATGATAAGCCTTGGTCTGTGTAAATGCTTTCATTCCGAAGTATCCATGCGTCACTAGGGTAAAATTTTAAGGGACATTTTGCCACATGCCTATTCTTTTCTCAAAGCTATAACCTACATATACGGTCTGTTAGTCCATTCTCCCACAATCCCATGACTTCTTTGATTGTACGTGACCTGCGTGAAACCTAGCCTCTAGGCCCAACGTGGCAATGAACCAACACATGTATATTCTTAAAGCACACCTTAAACAGTACGTAAAGATTCCGTTTCCTCAGTTACTTGTACCTTTACGCGTGCTTCAGATGTGCTTAAAGATGGGAAATTTGTGTAGTGATATTACGCACAGGTTTTCATAAAGATCCATATTGCAGAAATAACGATGACTATTTCAAAACACAATGCAAGATATTTGATAAGTACTAGTATTTGCGACGCCTTAAAGCTACTTAAAGGCAAATGGAATCTGCCTCTGCCAAAATCCAACGTAATAATCACGACGTGTGTACAAATAAGGAAATGAATAAGGAAAAGCCGCTAATCTTAAGCATGATTCAAGCATGCCTGTAGAAATAGACTACACAAAATCCTTCTTTAAGACTCCGTAAACAATGCGTAAAGGGTCCGCCTCTTCCCTAACCTATGCCTTTACGCAGGCTTTAAGATGTTCTTAAAGATGGTATTTTGCGTTTGCGACGTGATGCCCTTTTCCCTGCCGTGACTGTGTGCAAACCGAAAATAAATCTCTCCCAACTTGTCCGTGACTTTAACCGTCCTTCCGTTATAATGAACCTTCATCCTACTTCTAGACCGTCTCATCCAGGCCACATACCGCCGGCGCCTGTGTGGTCCCGTACTTAACTGACAGGAGTTTTACCACAACTGTGTCTTAAGGCCTGACGGATGAACCTGTTCGTT